ACAGTTATTGGATTAGAGTCTAATTGTCTCTTAGAAATTGGTTCCTCCAATTATGGAAATGGATCTTTTTCTTTTTGTTGTGCCCTTGTAAATACGATATGCACACATTCTACTCGGTTTACTGATGAATCTTGTAGACCTCGATTATTCTCGTCTAATTTACTCTACAATTGAACTTGTTAATTTCAATTATTGAAATTAAATAGGACATTGCACTGCTGATAAGTATGTCCTGATTACTTACAATTTCCATGCATGGAAGCATAGTCATTGCTTGCTCTTGGATTGGGACATTCACTAGTATAGTATCTGATCTGTCTACAACGATAACATCCAAGTGGTCTCCTTTCAACACCGTCAGGATTATTGGGGGTATCTACTGGGATGAACCGGCTTAGGCTGTTCCAGGTCAGATGGAGAAATGTTCCCGGTTGTCCAGTTGGTATTACAGAATCCAAATTTGATTGCTGAAAGAGTTGATATTGGAAATATCCTTGCTGGTTTTGTACCATTCTTTGAGCATTGGTTCCGTATTCCTAATTGTATACCAAATTTTGAAATTTGGAAAAATTTCAATTCGACTTATTGGAACGATTACTATTCCAACCAAACCTATTTCTTGTCTAAATTTGATTAACATCCCACGAAGTTAGTTGGGTCATTATGTGGTTATTGAGTTGTTGTTGCTTCCATAAATTCCAATAATTGGTGGTAATATGCTTGCCTCCGCAAAAGGTATATTGTACAGTCATTTGGAGTGGTGAAGGACATTTTGTTACTAAATGACCTTGCCTCTTATAATTACTGCACCAGACATTGGGATGCATATTGGTTGGTTTATGCCTCTTTTCTTTGTCTTTTGCTAAGTTGACAGCCAGTTCGTCCATTTTCTTTGTCAACGTTAACAACAATGACTCATTTGGATCTTTTGATCCAATTTCACTTAATAATTCTTTCACAGGTACTACTTTTTGATATGGGAAGTATGGGGAATACGGGACTGTAGTTATTGGTGGTATGTTTTGCAATGGAACAACATCCAGTGCTCCTTGCGGATTAACAGTAAGGTTTGTACCATAATCCAGCATTCTTTGGTAACTGCTCCTAGTTTCACTCCAGGTTGGTATTCGGTAACCTGCTTGAGATGGAATCATTATAGCTCCAATGGTTAAGAATTGGTCATAGTGACATTCTTCCCACACCTTTGCTCATGCTAGTGAAGAAGCAACAATGGTCGGTTGGGCCTCCTTCACGAATAACTTTAATTCTGCTAGATAAAGTCCATTAATTAATATGGACAAAATAAACGAATCAGGCATTTGGTTATTTGGCCATTTACTAAGAATATCTGCTACTCGGCCATAATATGATTGTACCGCTTTTCTTGATACCATTCTGCTATTCATCAATCTTTTCCTTAAGTCGTTCTTCAAATCCAATTGGTCAAAAATGGGTTAAAAATGTATTTTTTAATGCCTCCCAATTAGGAAATTGATCGACGAGCTGGCGATTATACCATTCAAATGTTGTGTCTTTTAATGTTATTGGCAGCCATCTTAACCAAATATCTTCAGTTCAACCATTATTGGCTACACATGCAGTCAAGAATTGTGATAAATGTTGATCTGGATCGGCTTTTGGTAAACCTCTAAAAGTAGGTAATGGAGCCACGCTAGTTATGCGATCTCCCGCCGCACCCATTTGGACTGCAATTGGAACTGCTGGTCCTTTGGACACCATTAAAAATGTCGGTGTTCCGCTCAATTTCTTATTAAAATAAAAACTGTCTTCCGCAAAAGTCTTTTTCAAACTTCCATGCCTTCCCGATTGACTATTATTATCTCCAAATAATTTTACTGGTTGAATATGAGGTGAAAACAATGGGTTTTGATATACTCTAAATTGGTCTTTATTAGCAAGTGATTTATGCTGATCTTCAAAACCAGTCTTGTTAGAATCGGACGTATCTCCAATTGGAAAAATACCCAATGGAGTACCTAATTCTTTTGTGCCTTCTTCGCTTTCTGTTAACGACTTCAAGAGATATGCTGGACTATTAGCAACACTCTCCGCAAATGCTCTTGACAATTTCTCTAACGGTATGTACTTCTGAAATATTAGAAGTCGATTGTCCTCTGGGTACGATCAAATATGCCGACAAGCATGCAACCACGGCTTAATCCAACTTTGTCAATTTGCAATCTCGCTTGTTACGCAACAAATTTCTTACTTGCAATCTCTCTGTTCTTTCCTTTGATTGCTTTATTCTCTTTGCTATTAAATTTTCATTTTAAATAACCATACTCTTTCATTATTTCTACTGAGTTTGCTTCCTAATCTCTTTTACTACTTCGGCAGTTAATTCCTAACACTCAATAATGTTGTCAATCCCCAGCAGCGGCGCCAAATTGTGATTGTCGTTTTACTTATTCTGGAAGAAACCTCCCAGAATAAATCCGTATAGGAGAATTCGAACACAAGAAAAGACCAAGCACATGAGTTTCACTTGTTAGGATCACACAATTAACCTCTATTGTTGAATGCTTACCATACCAAAGAACACTTAACTTTTCTTCTTATTGTCCACTCTCTCATATCAATATGATAACAACCACGACATCAATTTCAATACCTTGTGTAATTCACGAAGACACAAGCATAACCCAAACCCTGGAATGAACAACTTCCAATCCACAGAATCTTATAGAGACAATTCCTTCAATTACAATTCCTGTCCACTGAACTCACAACCTTGCGATAAACAATGACTGGAAACTTCCATACATCATCAAACTTTCACAACAATTGATAAACTATGATCCATAAACAACTTCGTAAATCAAACATTGATTCATTAAATCGATTCTCTTCACTAGAATCAACACTAATACAAAAGAAACAAGAAAACTAAGAAGAAGACATAGCACCAAGCTTATCCCCAACTCAGTACTATCACAGTCTGGCATTTTCTCCCTCTCTCCCATCCTCCTTGTACTACCCCGAGATACCAACTCCTATACTATGAATGATAACTACTTTTCTTGACTATTCATCCATTCTACCTGTTGAACCACCTTTTCAACAGTTATTTATCCATGTTTACACTATACACTAGATATCTACATTCTGAAAATAAATACTTATTCTATAATAAGCACAATATTTCTTAGTGATGTTGAGTCTTTTCTTATTCAATGAAAGATTTCAAACGTAATTCATTAATTTGTATGTCTTCTACTTTTAAAAAATTTAATTAAAAAGATGGTGTTGCCATTGAATTTTAAAGACATTCGACGACAAAATCAATTGCTTGACTTAATGTATTAATCAATAGATAAATTATTATATTTTGATTAATATATAATATTATAATTAATAATATTATTATATTTTTTTAATAAATTTAATATATAGTAATAGATAAATTACTAATCATTTATAAAGAGTGACAAGAAACAAAAAAAAATTGTGCTTATTCTTAAAAGAGAGAAATCTATATTTTATTTTACTAATTAAAGGTCATTATTTAAAAAATATTGTAAATAAACTATGTTTGAATATTTAATGCATTAAAATTATTAAAGCAATGATAAAGTAATAATAATAATAATTTGTGATTTTAAAAATAAAATTAAAATATATAATATGACATATTAAAAATATAATAATAGTCTAATTAATAAAGTTGATGATCTTTATTTACTAATTACAAAACTAAATCAATCTTGTAAGTTTATCTTACTTTGGTGATACTACTTCTAAGATAGATTTTTGTTCGTAAATAAGTTGATCAAAGAGACTTTGATGATAATAGAATCGTGAATACCACTTAAATCAATAAACAATGAATTTGTTAACTCATTTATTATGAAAGATTAATCAATTATTGTGATTGCTTGTTTTACTTATTTCGGAAGAAACCTCCCAGCATAAACCCGTATAAGGGGATTCAAACACGGGGAATGACTAGTTGCTTAAGCGTTCACGTTAGGGTCACACAATCAATTACCTCCTAAATGTATCGTCTCTATTTCCAATATCTGAACACACAAAGAAACTATAATCTCCTCCTTCACTTTGTCGGTCTCTTCCTTACAGCTATTCAGTCATACTAATAACTGCTATTTCCACCAATATATTCACCTTCATAATCTCCAATTGTAATACTGTGCCTTCACAGCTTTCAGCACACAATTACCCTCGTTCCAATCTCTGGAATTATTTACACAGAACTGCCATTCACATTACAATGTTTCACACAAACACAGACTCATTCTCTCTGCTGAACTACAATCAGATTTCAGCATTCAATCTTTCTTCTTCTCAAATAATACCAATCACATTTCCATTCCATAATTCACTTCACAATATTTAGAAACTTTCAATCCTCTTATTCAAAGAAAATAACAAACAAAAGAAAAGAGGTAGCACCAAGCTTACCCCAGCTCACAACTCTCACAGTCTGGCATTTTCTTCCCCTCTCCCATCCTCCTTATACTACTCCAAGATACCAGCTCTTATACTACAGATGATAACTACTTTTCTTGACTATTCATCCATTCTATCTACTGAACTACGTTTTCAGCAGTTATCTATCCCTGTTTATACTATAAACTAGGTATCTACATTCTGAAAATAACTACTTATTCTACAATTATCTCATTCATTCTTTTGAGAAGACCAATCAGACATTAACCAATCCTTGCCAATGCTTAACACGTGCTATGTCATACAATCTCCAAGCCAAATGATAAGTTGATTTTCAGCATATTATGTGGTGAACAAACATAGTGTATGGAGATACACAAGCCAGCTATTTGTAAATGAAACAAATGTAGTTCCATAAGGCACCTGTTTAGACATGTGCCACTTATATACTCTATTCAATAAGAACTTCCCCAAATACAAACATGGAACAAGATACGATAAATCATGTCACTTTCTGCTGAACCGTTATCAGAGCTACAAATATATACATATTATCTGCATTATCTTACATGTGCTGTGAACTCTTTTATATGGTTTTGTATTCCAGATTAAATAAGAGTTTCTACATTTTTATCCAAATTACAGTCTTCACCATGCTCAAAAGGGTCTGAACTTTCAAAATGGATTTGACCTCTTTTCAGCAAAGTATGCATGGCATGGATGGATTTAAATATAAAGCGACATTCTATCCAATTATAAATCCACATGATCCTCACAAAATTCTTTAGTATTGTCATGAAACGCAAGCAGAACCTACTACATGTGGTGCAATGAGAGATATTCCATTGACATTAACTCTCTCTGCATTTACGCTAGCAAATTGTGCAGCTTCAATTAAACTGAGTGTGTCGCGTTGGAGATGGCAACCATCCGCCACCAACTGCTGTAGAGGGTCGAGGAGCTTTTGCCAGAACCTCAGACTGTCACCTTCTGCATTTCCAGTATTCCAGCTCATATTTAGATGACAAAAGAATAAGTACGATACGAATAGAAGTTATCCTGTCGACTTTTTTTATGTTATAATCACAAAAAATCTCATCTTCAGCAGTTTCTGGAGTTCTTATCTACGATTAATCTTGTTGAGCAAGCCAAAAGAAACAAATAGTACCAGAATAGTGCAACGATAACCTTGGCAAGTCTCATGAAACATAGAACAGCTTCCTTGACCAAACAGTCATAGATTTCCAAGGATGTTCATTAACAACCAACTGATGTTCTCCTTATCAAACAGTCTATTTCAAAATTGCGATCACTTTCTTGTGCAACTTCAATATCAGGAATGGAAGATGCAGGAATTCATTAATGAAAAGAATGGACAAAGCTGCATGTATTATGCATGTGTATTCAGAAGCTTACCAGGCGCAGCAACATGTTCCACAAACAAAAACATGCCTCCTGGTCTCAACACTCTTTGGACCTCTGTGCGAGCAGCAACAGTTCCACAGGTTTCAGCATTAGACTCAATTTCTGATACCCACGAAGTGTACCCAATTAAGAGTTTTCCTAACAACATAATGCTGAACACTTTATTCACCTCAGAGGTAGCCAACAATGAACGTCTCCACAACAAGTTCGACAAGAGAAGTCAAGAGAAAACTTCCTCGGGCGGTAGAAAGTACATATCACCTTTCAGGGTTGAGGATACATCAAAAACTGAGCACAACACAAGAGTACCAATTACAGCGTCGACACTTCCGCTTGGTAAAGGTAGTCCCTCACCAACCTGTGTAAAATTAAACCCCATAAGTGAACAGAGGAGGCGTCACACAAAAAAATTACCTAAACAAATAAATAACCGCTTCATACAGGAAGGAAAGCATTGAATAATAGAATCTCTGCCTTGCGCAAGGATGCTGAATTTTAAATGGAGATTCAAGGTGGTAAAAGTTACAGCGTGCACGAATTTGAATTGCTCTGGTGAAAAGCCGGCTGCAACCGCGGCTTCTTTGGCATAACGAGCCATTTTTTCATTCGGATCCACCCCTATAACGTTAGTTATCGAGGTTCTCCCACCATAGTACGCCAAATTCGGCCCAGTGCCGACACCTAATTCCAGTACTGTTTTCACGTTGCCGTCGAGACGAGAGAATAGCTTTCTCTTGTAGCCTGCTACCTTTACCCCTGCCAGAATCTCATTAGGCTCATTGTATTCAGCTACACAACTGCAGACATATGTTGAAAAATTAACTTGAAAATGAAGAGATAAACAGGTTTAGTCTTTTTAAGTTTATCGAAAAACGTTTGCATATACTGGCTAGTTTCGTTCCACCAGATTGCGCATATTCTGATATTTAAATAACCAAACGTTGAATTCTTATGCGATGTTGAACAACTTAGTCGGCACATAATTGACTATGAAGGACGCCTGTTTCCAGGAAAGAAGAAGATGGAGGGTTGCAAAGAAATGTTCATTACAATTCCCACATTAATCAAACAAAATGACACATACTGTTTCGGAAGTTTTCCGCCTGGGAGAGTCTTTACACTGACCTCAGCTTCATACTCGCGCATGGTGGTGTTCATTACCGTTGCATAAAATTCTTCGTACCATCCTGGCCGAGCAGGATGTATTGCTTCCCGTATCGCCTGTGCAACATGAGGACCTTAAAGCACAACTTGGAAGATACAAGATCATAGAACAGAGTTCACACAACAGGGGAGTTAAAAGAGTGATGTTGCTACAAGCTCAGCAACACATTTTGCAATAGAAAAAAAAAAAAAAAAAAAAAAAAAAAACTAATACATCGTCATTCTGGATGGAGCTTTCAGCGGCTTGCAATAACTTATCACCCTGTGCAGTTGCAATAAGTGCGCCTGCTGAGGAGGTGACAAAGCTCCGTCGACTGCAGCACTTGCAGGCTGACCAACGAAACGATTGCTCCGCTGCAGGGTTGCAGTCGACGTCAATCCCCACACAACAACCCACAAACCTTTCCATACAATCTCCTACATCTCTTCACATTGTGGTAACTCACACAACCCCCTAACCCAACAACACGACGAACGGAATTGCATCCGCAACTAGCATAGCTTCTTGTTCAGATGAGAAGGAAAGGGAAATACCAAATTGAGAGGCATGATCTTGAATAGAAGCACAGATGGTTCCAATCCTTTTACTCCCTCTTAACCTACATAACAAGTTGTTCCCAAACGGCTCCAACACCTTCAGTGGACGAAACTCTTTCACTGCCTTGAAGCTGGGAAATTCCGGCGATGAAAGGTTAGATGATAATTGCGACTCTCTGGCCTTGGGAAGATTGAGCCCGGTGATGAGACGGCTACAGGAGAGTCCCACAGACGCCATGGCTGCGTCCACACTACTGGAAACTTAGGAGTTGCCAGGCAAAATCAGGTTCGTGAACGCACATCCACACGCACACAGCTGCAACTTGGATTAGAAATGACCTTTTCTTACCAACATCTTTTGAAGTTAAGAATAATAAATTTAAAAGTGTGTGTGTGTGAGTGTGAGGAGTGAGACTTGCGTTTCGAAGTTCCAAATTAAATAAAGAAATGCTCCTAAAATGAGAGACAAATTTTCACCGCAACTTCAACATTATTAGTAACCACGTTGATCTCTCACAGGAAAGAATGATCTAGGATTAAAAAACAAAAAAACAAACAAACAAACATACACACACACAAGTGGCTGCTGTAATTTTTATTTTGAAAATCGGTCTGATTGTGGCATATATTGAAAAAAAAAAAAAAAAAAAAAAAAAAGATACATGTTTTAGTGTAACGAATTAGAAACTATGTGCGTTGTTTTGCGAGAGCATCAAATACAGGCAAGAACAGAAGTTTATTCTTTTTCGGTATACGAAGTTCACCGTGCTTTCCTTTTAGAAACGCACATGTATCAACGACACGTGCGATTTAAACAATTACAATTCATACTTTGAAAACAATAAAACCTAAGATGTCTTTCCAATTATCTTGCCCTTCTAGGTAATTAGAGGCTTAGTTGTCTGTTGTCACTCACCTACTTTGTCAATGGATCGGGTAACACCATATTGTGTGAATAAAGAGTGATAAAAAAAATAAAAATTGGTCTTCCCACTTCAAAGGTTCTGATTTCAATCTGTATCATATCAGACGCTGTATCATATCAGACGCTGTATGATACAGATTTTGCGATAAGGGTGACTGAACATATGCTCTCGGTCCATATGGGATCCCTCTAGCCTAAGCTATACCGAGAAACCAGTTGGACATGTTAGTTTTTGACTGGATTGTACTCGGAGCATTGGTTAACAGTCAGACTCATTATATAAGAGTGGGAAAGAAATGTCATCGGGTCCAAGTGGTGTTCCCGGAAAAAATTGTTCATAATGGATTTATGGTTCCGTGTTTCATTATCATAAAGGGTTGAGCTACCGTGTTTCATTATCATCCAGACGATTTCAAAGCTATTGTTCACTTAGCTTGTTCAATTTGTCACTTCACATCAGCTGAGATTCGTATCCAGTCAGTTGTCAAGGATCATAAACAGCCTCATAGGTGTCTCCAAGTTGATGTCAGAGATAGAACAATCGGTATGCATAATCACTTCCTCAACAACCACTGACAGGGGTAGACTAGTCAAACTGTTTACAAAGGGTATTAGAGTAGATAGTTTACAGCTTCCGCATTTCGTTGTTGAAAATGTTAAAAGGTCATTGTTCAATTCGCTTGTAAATTAAACTCTCCAAATCAGCTGGGGTTCATATACAATCAATTGTCGAGGATCATAAACAGCCTCATAGATGTCTCCACACTATTGTCAGAGATAGAACAATTGGTATGTGTAATCACTTCGTCGACAACCACTGATTAGGGGAAGAGTTTTGTCAAATTAATTTACGGAAGGTAACATGTACGTGGCATGGTCTGTCCCAAAACGTAATGGCGACGACGCCGCTCGTCAGGGCAATGGAATATGCCTCCTTTTATGCACATAACAGGGCTCCTGTAGAGGAGCCCATGCTACGCATAGTGTAATTCTCTGACGTTGACAAAGGACTCTACGACCAAAAGAGCATCACAAGGATGCTGGAGGCCGCTCCCTGCTGTCAAGTTGACATCCCGCCAAGAATGTTAACCCCGTCATGATTAAGTTTGAAACAATTATCCATCTTTAGTAGGTGGAAACATAGAATCCCTGCTTCCTAAAGGCAGTATGTGGACATTATCCTTGAATGACGACGGCCTCACCTCCAAACATTCTAAGACACAGGAAAACCAATAGATCACGAGAAACCGGAAGACTTAGTATTCACCGTGAAGCCACACGAAAAGGCCTGCACAGTTTTCCGTCGCTCAGGTCTATCCGACATAATCCGAGAGCCGACAACGAAGAGCACCAACATAGCCTCAGTCGAGAATAATAGGTCATCAAAGTGATCAGGATCAAAGTTTTTGGTTATAAGTTTCGGAAACATCACCGGCTAGGACACGGAAAACCAAGAGCAACTAAACAGAGATAACGAACTACCCTTCCTAGAGTGCTGCACCACGGAAGGGCATCCCATTCCCCGAGTAGAACCTCATCGAAGAGTCAATCTCATCGACACTCCACAACTGAACTCACTCATGCGGCTAACTCTAACACTTCTCAGTCCACAAACTCCCGCTACAAGGGCACATACTGCCCTTAGGAAGCAGGGACTCTGCGTTTCTTGAGGACAGAAATGCTTGAGAAATCTACTGGACTCGTAATTTTACGTGCGAGAAGAAGATTAAGTAGGCAGAGGACTGGTGCTGTGGAGGGGGTTCTAGAATGACCGGAGGAAGAACCAGCGCCGGAGTCGAGGACGCCATTGCTCGGCGACGCAGCAAACCCTAATTTTCGTTGCAATGGATGGTTTTGGGGAGTGCCTCTTGGATGAAATTTCCATATCGCTTTCATTCATTCGTCCTCATTCGTACCTTCGATTTAATGTCTGTGTGAATGGGTTTTGAAATGTGGTGTATTATGGACACCGGAACGCCTTTTGGTTGAATTGTTGCGTAAGATCATCACTTTGGTTTAAAGTTTGTATAATTTTATTTTTTTATTGCAACGAATGCTATTTAAATAAGAAAATATAATTGAGCGTGTGAGTGTGTGTTTGTGTGTGTTGTGGTGACTTCTAACACAAGTAAAATTATATACGTGTGTTGTTTTAAACAACTGTCACAAGTTGGGGTTATAAAAAGTTATATTTTTTGAAATTGGTAATAGACGTTTCAAACACGTGAAGTTATATGAAATTGTATAACGATGGTATACGAGGCTTTCAAGGTAGTGTTTATATTGGTCCGATGAATTTTTTTCTATTGTAAACTCAATATTTAAAACATGAAGTGGTAAGTGCTTTCAAAAATGGAAAATAAAATAAGATATGAAGCATTATGTGTTTTGTTACAAGTCACCTCTTACAGAGACTGTGTTTTTTACTCCACAAACCAACTGACCTATAATACACTGTTTTCAGAAATTATGTTTATTTGGACACATTTTTAAAAACATCATACATCATTGTTATTACTGTAATTGGAATTAAACAATCTATTGATAAACTTATGGAACAACTAAAAAGTTGTTTTAATCCGTAATAATACAGTGTAAGTAATGCATTGCGTGTTTTTGTCATTCTCTGGATGGTTACCAAGCAATGTGCTGTTCTAGAGTAGTTTGGTGAACATATTAATATCAAATTTGTGTATTCGAAATATCATTTTTTTTCATTGTCTCTATATTTTGTCAATTTACTCATATATACATTATTTAATGTGAACATATATATATATATATATATATATATACATATCATATATTCCCAAGTTTTGTGAAAAATGTAACAATTTCAACAATATATATATATATTTTTTCAAATTTATTTAAAATCCTTTAATAAGTATTGACCAGGAAAACTCAGTTAATTTTAATTTACAAAAAATGAACAACAACAATAACAATAAATACACCACACATTGTTGTTATATCAATCTCACAAACATATCATTTATAATGTACTCAATGAAACAAGCATGTGAAAAAACATAAACTGGAACACATTCAAAGCCAATTAAATGGGAAGACACCCTCAGTTTCCTAAATGCAAAAAATAAAATCACCCAACAGAAAAATTACAACTGACCTGGAATCTATCAACGTTGGAACAGCTACAAAATCCCCATCCAATCAAATACCACCGCAAACCATTATGTTCTGACGGTGAACATCGACAACATTAGTAAAACCAAGTCACTAAATACGAAGACTCGTACACACGAATACAAAATACATATGGGATACGTCGTCGTCTTCCTTCTCCTAGTGTTTGCAGTCCATAGCCACGATAACGAGGAGAGGTAGGGTTTTGTTGCAAGGCTCTGGGGATCGCAGGCAGGCAGCAGCATCGGCTTCACCTCGGGGGCCATTACCGCAGTAGTAGCAGTACTGAGCCAGCAACAATGGCGTCGTCGTCGTCGAGCTGGACGCAGACGCTTCTCGTTTTCTTCTTCTTCGCGCTGCCGATGCTCTGCACCAGCTTCAACCCAGACAGTCCCTCCGACCGTCGCGTGCTCGTCCTCGTCGACGACCTTGCGATCAAGTCTTCGCACTCCACCTACTTGCAGTCGCTCACTGGTAAGTCACCTCTTCTCACGCATCGCGATCGGTTTACGTGCCCCGATTGTCTCGATCTTCGTTCCTTTGAAGTGTAGCTCACCGAGTCGATGCGCATACTTGGTAACCTAGTTTTGACTGGTTTTGAGGTGGATTATTTTGTCTTTAGGATGCTTTTACTGGATTCGTAGTCTTGCTCAGGGGTTTGGTGAGTGACGAATAGCATTCTGGTTTCGAGGCAATGGTCATTGAGTGTTTGCTGATTTTGGGTTGCAATAGTTTAGTGGTCTGGTTTTAAGATTTGTTTGTAGATTTTTGGTTTTGCTTCGTTTTTCTCTTTTCTTTTCTGGTACGAGTTGCATCACTTGTACCGTGTTTGTGATCAGTGGTGATTGGTTTATGGTATTTGTCGGTAGAATTCAGTTCTCAAATTTCCTTCGAGTCGGAATTACTAGGAAGTTCCTATGAATTTTACAATGTAGCAAGAGCGTTGACATGGAAAGTTTGCTGAATTGATTTTTGGCTACCATCGCTGCTCCCATGAAATCTGGGTGTCAGTCAAATATATTTAAGTTGGATGAAGCATTGCGTGAAGTGGATGGATACTTGCTGGTGACGGAGTATTTGTATCCAAACATGTCAATGCGCGAATCTTGTGATAGTCGTAGACATGTTCAAGCGGGTAATGTTTTTCCTAAGGTACATTGTATTTCATTAGCTTTGAATCAAGTAGCAAGGGGCAACTGCCCGATGCAGCGTATAGTCGGTGTGAGCTTGCTCGTACGAGGAAATATGCTTTGCTAATCAATTTTGGTTATCTTGTGCAGACAGAGGTTATGAGCTTGACGTCAAGTTGGCGACTGACCCAAAGTTGACTCTTCAGTCATATGGATCGTACCATTACGATGCTCTCATTTTGTTTGCTCCCAAAGTCGAAAGTACGTGCATTTAAAAATAGTTTTTATCGACATCGCGTCTTAGTCTAGAGTCATCCTCAATTTCAGAGTGTCGAATCTTGCCTCCAGTTAGTCCAATTGCTAACTCTATTTCCAGTGATCATATCACTCAGTGTACCGTTCCAATTTTACATATCCACACTAGTAGTTTTGAATTGTTATTTTTTACGTTTTATGTTTTTACCATAGAATTTTCTTTTTCTTTTTTCTTTTGAAAATAAAATTTTAGTGTACATCATTAAATCTGTATTTGTCGTCTATTGTTCAGGTTTGGGTGGAAATCTCGACGCCGCCGCAATTTCTGACTTTGTGGACTCCGGTCACGACTTAATCCTAGCAGCTGATGAAACAACCTCAGATACGATTAGGGAAATCGCTTCCGACTGTGGTGTTGATTTTGATGAGGTATTACAGTACATTCCGTCACTTTATTTGAAGGTGGAGAAATATTGGTATTGGTAGTTTCCAAGACTTGTGAGTAACAAGCGCTTGTTGAATTGTGCAGTTCGAAAAGGCCGTTGTGATCGATCATGTCAAGTACGCAATCACCCCGCTTGGGGATGATCACTCCCTTATTGCAGCTGACAATCTGATAGACTCTACAGTGATTCTGGGATCACAGGGGATCAAGGTGCATTATCATAGCATATGATGTGTGTAGATTTTAATTTTCATCCACGAATTTGTCTGTGGCTTAGTGTATGTGCGTGCTAAAGTTTACACCTATAATTTCGGACTCTGATAGAGGACGTTTCAGTTTTGAGTAACGTATCCTTTAAATTCATTTCATCAAAGTTTGTGGACACATTTTGCAGGCAAACCTACCCAGATGGGCCTATTTACTAGATTTATACCCATGAAAATTACTTAATCGATGTATCTTAGAAGTTGCTTCACTATGCACATCCATCGTCATCACATGCCTGATTAAAATTTGTTTTTCAGGAACCCATTTTATACCGCGGTCTTGGACACATTGTAAACCCAACAAGCGAGCTGGTATTTCTTTTCCCGCTTATGTACAATTTTTCTGATCAGCCTGGCCTTTTCATAATCTTTTTTACATAGCACAGTAGTTCTAATCAATGGAGACTTTATGAATCTATTCCGTGTGGATATGTTGTGATTATTGGGTATATTCCATATACTGATGTACTGGTCAGTACCATCTGGTTAACGTTGTTGAGGTAGTGTTTAGTTTCGAAGTTCCGGAGTTTTTAAATGAATTTTAAAAAATGCATCTATGGCGCAGGTCAAGTACTGATACGGTGAATAAATGCTAGATGAAATACCTCATATTTCCTCTTACAATGTCAAGTGACACGGTTTATTTCGGCCGTATTGTTCAGTGGTCACAATTGTCATATACATTTTATTTTATAATAGTTACAAGCATATGTCCGATCTACAGTATAGCGCTTAAACGTCTAGTTCTGAATTTTTCAGGGTATAAAAGTTCTTTCTGCGTCTCCATCTGCTTATTCTGGGAGAGTTGGTGCTGAGATTACAGACTTACCTAACGTCAGTGGCGCTTCTATGGCCCTAGTCTCTGTAGTTCAGGTAAAGACTCAACATATGAGCTGTTAATTTATTGCCACAGTCATTTCTTCGATCCCAATCGTTTCTGCGTGTAATCTATTAGAACCACTTTTATACTTCAGCTAACTTTCAGTAGGCTCTGAACTGTGCTTTTGATTTTCTTCCTATGCTTGTAATTCTGTGTTGTGTGAACAGTTTTGTTTCTGTTTATCTTTTTATTGTGTGTGGTTCTTGTTCGGTTATGATGACGAACTTCTGTGTTAAGGATAAGTTGAAATAGGTTGAATCCTTTTTACCATAGGATAGGTACTTATTTCATAACATGCCACTTCACATATGCAGGCTAGGAACAATGCCCGCATTATGATCTCTGGCTCTTTGGAGCTCTTCAGCAATCAGTGAGTCTTGTGCTCCTTGTTTCATTATTCCTTGTCACATACTTCTACCCAGAATTCAGTTTTGATCACAATACGTGGTTTAGTTCCTGCCTTTAATTCACAGTGGTTATCCGGCACGTTTCTTCGTTTTTAATTATGTTTGTAATTGAAAATTGGGTTTTGATGCAGGTTTTTTGAATCCTCTGTACAACAGTCCGGAAGCGACGATAAGTAAGCAATGTTGATCTAATATATTTACTTAATTAAATAATCGAATTTTATTTCTGAATCTTCTGGTGTGTTACATTGTTGAACTACTCTTAACCAATTCCTGTATAGTTCGTGGTGGCAAAATAATTCTCATTCGTTAGTATCTTTATCCGGGTACTGAAGTTTATTCTGACATCTTGAAGTCGTTAGTCATACATCTGTTTCGTTTGTGAGCGTGTTGTGTATGACTCGGTAAACAATCTAATAATCTGTCTCATCTGTCGTAAGTGGAAAATATCTTAAGTCTTTTAATTTTTGGGTATAGATCCTTTTAGTAAATTGAATGATATGTGACGTATGCTTGATTGAATAGGTTTGAGAAGTCTGGTAACCAGCAGTTTGCAGTAGAACTTACGAAGTGGACATTACATGAGAGAGGCCATCTTAAGGTATGTACATTAGAAGTCTTACTTCACAAGAAGGACTGGCTTTACATCTTGAGCCTTTGGTGGCAGATGAAGGATCGTCACTGTTTCTGATCTACTTACAATTTACACTATCAGTGGCTTTCAGTTTTCGTATAGCAGCGATAAGTTGACTGTATTTGTGATCATTTACTATTATTATCTGAACGAGCACTGCTGATAAGCTTGTGTGATGGTTTGGGATTTTGGGACAGACTTCGAATGTGCATCACCACAAGATTGGAGAGACCAATGAGCCTGCTATGTATCGGATTGCTGATAATGCTGTATGTTCATGATTTATTTATGCTTTATAGCTGGTTTCAGAGGCTCAACTTCCGTCTTTTGTTTTATATGTCCCCTTCTCCTTCGACCTTCATGTATTATGGCCCGACCTCATGTTTTCCATTGTCCGTGACCGCAGAGGTACTCCCTTGGGATCCAGGAATGGAATGGCAAGGACTGGCAGCCATATCAAGCTGATGACGTGCAACTGCAATTTTACATGATGAGTCCATATGTTCTAAAAACTCTTTCTCACGACGGCAAGGTACTGATTTCTTTTCTAGGCGAGTTTCTTTCCTTCATGTTTGAAAATTTTAGGTGTCAAGATCGAGCACTCGGTGGATCAGTCGTTTCCTTTTTTGAGTTTTCTGTTGCCTTTAATATTGGTATCCGTCTGTATGGAACTGATGGGAGTTGTAATTTAAAACCAACTCTTATGCTCGTTTTGAATTATTCAATGCCGCAGGGGTTGTATTTCACAGAATTCCAAGTTCCAGACGTGTATGGCGTTTTCCAGTTCAAGGTTGAGTACAATCGGCTGGGTTACACAACCCTCAACTTGGCAAAACAGGTGCGCAAACCCTTCTACTTTCCACGGACAATTATCAGATGTTCAAATTTTATGAGAATAGAGAAGTGTGTTTCCAGTTTAAGTGGCGTGTTTTGTTAAGTCTAGTGACAAACTAAGAGTGTGGTTAAGTTCATAGCTTTGAACAGTAGTAGTCCTCATTCTTTGACATCTAGAGGAAAATTTAAGTCAATGGAAGAGCATAGGTTCAAAATTGGTGTTCATGACCATTTGCTTTTTCTCACAGATTCCAGTAAGACCGTTTCGGCATGATGAGTATGAGCGATTCATTCCAGCTGCTTTTCCTTACTATGGAGCTTCCTTCTCGACGGTATGTTGCCTAAAGAATTTCATTTTAGATTTTGTTTACTCGTAAAGGGCTGTTTGAATCTTTGGTTGCAATTATGTCACTTGCAGAAGTTGCCATCATCGATATCAAAGTGTAGTAAGTGTTAATGTTGAACAACTGTTGAAACTTCACTATCCATCTAACAGCTCAGCTACTTAACCTCGTTACCAAGCCTGGTTGATAGAAATCTCATCACGGATTTAAGAATGAAGTTCAGTCTAGCACAAGATTTGGGTTATGATCTCTTCCCTTGTTGGTGGTGTGTGCAGATGATTGCTTTCTTTGTATTTGGGATTGTCTTTTTGTACCACAAGTAAGAGGATTCCGTACAACTGTAGCTTCAACCCAATTCTCTTCGCCTGATGTGTCATCATTAAGGTTATCTTTTGCGTATGGGGAGCATTATCAAGGAGAATCCAGAGTAGTAGTACCGGTCTGAATCTCTGAAACTCAGCTAATGAAGACCTTTGAGTGTGCCAGTGGCATTCATTTTGATAGCAAATCTTGGTAGATTTTACTCAGGTCTGTGCAGTTCCAATCTTAATCTAATGAATCATTTTATCAGGAAATTGCTCGAGTTCAGTTTATGAGCCAAAATTGGTTACCTTGTCACCAAGTGTTCTAGAACCGATCTGAATCACCAAAATATCCCTTAGTAGACGATGCGTAGTTGGGAGAACTTGCTACGTGTCTTCAATTGTTATCATACAAACCGTCTTGCAAGTACTGAATTCAATGCAAATTGATAAGCTAGAGTCCCGAATTAGTCATTAAAAGAGATATTTTAATGTTTCTTGACGAAGATATCACTGACCTAGCATGATTCTTTCTTATTCCCATTTACTTGAATTTAGTTAAATAACGTTGGCAAGTAATATAGTCATTGTCTGTGATGCATATATGCCAACGTAGCATTAAAATAATTTCTATATTTAATTGTAATTAATTTGAAAAGCACTGTTGGTTTTTATCAATTGTTATTTTACATGCACAAAACAAATATTGCTTATTGGCCAATACTGCATGCAATAGTCGAACACCATGCATGTGTATTTATTTGATTAATATAATTCAAAAATATTGAAAACGTGTGTAATGTTTTTAAGAATATTTTAAAGGTTATAATACTTTTAGGTAGTGCCACATATCCATTGTTAATGTGTTATTGTTGCCAACAATTTGATAAATAAATTTTGTAGAATAAGTTTGATAAGGTCAATATCAATATTATCTTGATAGTAGTATCTCCAATATTCCATTATGATTGACTCTATATTTTACACCATAAATTATATCTAAGAACCATTGCTTTTTTGAATGCACAAAGCATTAAGAGATACAAATGTGGCATAAGATAACAACTTGATTAAAAAAATTCATATATACATTTTTTATTACTAATGACTTAATGATTATGTGGACATTAATAACTTATCAAAAGATTAGATTAGAAAAGAAAAAAAGAAAAAAAGAAATATGAACATTAACTATTCTTGTATTACATTTGGCTAACAAGTTGCACCAAATAATCATTGTTCATGAAATTTGGCATGTGTTAATGCTATTATAGACAATCTACTTGATCAAAAAGTTAATATTTTTTTTTTGTAGATTGATTGTTGTAAGACTTTCCTATTTCAAATTCCTATAGATTGTATTGGCATCTTTACCACATTTATTCTAATTGAGAGGACTAATAGTGATAAAAAACACAACCTTATCACACCAATTTTTTAAAAAACATTTGTTCTTATCTCAAGTTTTTGGAGTAGTAATATAAATATTTGATTGATATGCATGAATTGTATCTTGTGCTATTAAAACATATACAACTTAATAAACTTGATAATTGGAGTATAAATGACAATGTGACAAATTATTAATTTTCTTAAAGAATTGTCATTGTAAAATCAAGAAACAAATGCAATTATTGCACACTAATATGAATTATAAAATGGATTGGCATCAAAATTGATCATTTATAATTAACGATTTTATACCATATTAATTTTTTTACTTTGATACAATATTCTCTTTTTTTTTGAAAATCTTTCTAAAACTTTATTTCTATATTATTCAATAACAAGTCTTCATGATGATAGCCCATGATATCTTTATACTTTGAAATTGTGTGTGACTTTTCGCAAACAAAACTTGTTATAAGTTAAAGACTAGTTTTGGTTTTAAGCTTGATCAATCTTTAAGTAAAAGATAGATATTTGTAGCTCCTCTTGCCTATATTTTTGAGTTGCTTTGCACTCTCAAAATCTTTATAATATTGTTAATTTAATTTCTAGAATACGAGAGAGATATAAGGCATTGATTCTATTTCCTATTTTTTTCCTCTAAGTATTCAATGCAATCATTTTGTGCCAAATGAGCCAAATATAGATTGATTTTTTATTTTTATTTTTTATAGATCTAGTCTTGTCATATAATGTTCTCTATTTGATTTTAAATATTAGGATTAAGACATCTCGTCCTATAACTATTTAGATCAAGGTTAAAAGTATGCTATTATGTAGTGTGTATGTTATTTATTTATTTATTTATTTTTTCACATTATACTTCCAAAGAGAAAAATCTTTTGCTAATAAGAAGTTTTTGAGAGTGAATTATATAAGATTATTTTTGGACTTTCTTCAATCAAGTAATTTGTATCAGCAAGGAACTTAAAGAATGTGTCTTCCTTCAAAATATTAGCTTAACAAGCAAAGTGAATGCATTAGATTATAATACAATAATATAAGATAATTTACCATCTTTATATCCTACCTTGTTATTTAGAATCTAAAATAAATAATTTTGCTAATTTGGATTGATGAGATGGTAGAAGCTAATCTATTTGTTATATATAAAATATATTGGACCTTGTTAGAGATAGGCTATCTATTGTTGGATTATTTTTATTAATTGTAAATTCCTATCTATAGACATTTGTGTTTTAATGATTGAATGTGGTTGAGCCTATAATCTAATCAAATTTATTTTTGGATTTTCTTGTTTGTAAGTCTTTAAAATGATGGATTCCAACCTTGTATAAATGAATATTACCTCACTAGAGATGGTGGTGCCCATGAGGTTGTCTCGAGCTTCATTCCAAAGAAAAAATTTTAAAATTGAATAGAAGCTATTAAAAGGTATATATTTCAAGTTCTTTGTTAGTGTATTTGAAGCATTGTATTTGTATCTCATCTATGTCTCGGGATTTGTATAATACAATGAGGTAGACTTGATGATTTAATGTAGATAGAATGTTTACTAATTTATTCCTTTCAATATTTGTGTGAGTGAAAATCTATGGTAGATGAGGTTGAGGATTGATTTTTTTTTGAGAATAATGACTTTTTACATCTACAAGGTAGACAATGCTTTAAGTATTGTTTCCAAGTTGAAGATGCTATATCCACTAATTTGGATGCATTGACTATTAATTTTCTAATGTATTGAAAATTTGGTATTTATTTCTTTATTTTCCTATGAGAAATCACATGCTACTTTTTAAATCTTGCACATATATTTGATGCTTCTACTCCAAACCATCATAAAACAAACTATTGATGTTAAAATGACATAGTTTACCATCACAATTTTACATGTTAGGTTTTGTAGATCACCAATATTTTGGTTTTTGTTTTACATTTTGTATAAAAAAGCTACTAATATTTAATGTTGTTATTTCTAAAATTATATTTAAGTGTATTAGAATCATCTTCTTTCAAGAGCACATTAAGTTGTTTGGCTAGTGAGGAACCTATAACTTTTAACTTTTAATTCATGTAGAAGTTTATTTATTTATTATTTTTAATTAAGATAATCCAAGTGAGGATTTTAGCTGAGTTTACAGTATAACTAGAGTCAAAGAGATCAAAATCTTGTGATTCTTTGTGCATTATTCATAACCGTACTGAAGTTTTGCAAAATTTTATTAGTTAAGACTTTTGCGCTATTTTCTGAATACTAATAACAATGAAGTATCCCTTTCCTACAATCTATCCCAATTTTTCAGATTGATCCATTCTTAATTTTAGGTTTGTAAAGCATTGCTCAAATGCTCCCACAAATCCAACTATTATTGCAAATTGTTCTAGGGCGCCGCTGTCTCTACTCAGAGCCCTATGGCTAGATCAACTCCGTTCAGTATTCTGTGCACTATTATTCCAATTATTAATGGAAATGGAATAATTTGTGTAATACCAACACTACTATGTAAAGTCACAGATCAAAACTAACAAGTGGGGTAATGTATGCTTGCATAGGATAGACCACAATTCCATTTTTAACTTGAAAATTATTTGGGAGACACACAAGCTAAAAGAAGTTAAAAATCAGTAAATCACATGGATTTACTGGAAGTAAATCACAAGCATATATGAAGACTTGAGACATACTTTAAACCGCAAAGCCTTTGCACACAAAAAGATTGAATTACAAATAATCAGCTGCTTGGGACAAGAAGTGCAGAAATAGCAGATTGGCTTGGATGCATTTACGTGACCCCAACTTGGTGAAATTCAAAAGAACAAATGAGGAGTGTATTGATAGCGTCTATATTGGAATTGACATAGGCTGGTCAGGGTGTGCTGATAAATCCTGCCGATCAGTGCCGAGCACCACTACTTCTCCCTCACTCGATATTGTCACATGCCGCGAACCTCAGCTTCCAAGCAAACAATCCGAGTAAGTAAATGGATCGATTAACGATAGCGTGCTGAAGCCTAAAAACCATCTGAAAATTTAAAACTCACGCACCATCCATAGGACCAAATCTAGCATCTTAAGGATTGACGGTGCTGCTGCTTTACTTCCATTTCTCAGCTAATTCCCTCCGCTCTGATAGCACATATGTTACTATGATGGACAAAAATAACACAACAATGGTAACAAGAAGTAGTGCATAGCTGAAGTCTTCTGTCAACGAATCATAGATTTTGGAGGGTGCGGTGTGTGTGTAGAATAAGTCGAGGCCGTAGGCAAAGACAAGGGAGGTGGATTCCAATCTTGCAGGAATAGTTAGCAGACCCCGCAAACCTTCCACTTGATAGGAATGGGTCAGATAGCTCTGCGAAAACACGATTTGAAGATATTAGCAACCAGAAAAAGAGAATCTGGCCTTACAAATCGGAATCTCAATGGATGTACATTTAGTGCCAGGTATGGAATAATTTGTGTAATACCAACACTACTATGTTGAGTCACAGACCTGATCGTTACAAAGCTTAACAACCAAGAGGTGATTCCTCCATACTCACAAATGAAGTGGTAAAAGCACATATACCTGAGGGGAAATGGGTATAGAATCAGTAAGAGGAAGGATGCCCTCCTCTTGCTCAGCAGGTGTTGGAGTTAGAGTCCTCCGAGGATCGAAAAGCCTCTTGTCCAGAGCGAGTACCTGGGCACAGAAAGTGAACAGTAGCTTTCTTTGTTTATTAACGATCCAAATACCACCACAAAATATCACACATTAATGTCCCACGGGGTTAGAAGTTGAGATTCGTGACGATGCGATTTAAACCAAAGAAACTTTTCACTAAGCAGCACAGTTAAAACTCAAAGAAAAACATATCAAAGCCTCACAGACCTGATCGTTAACAGTGCCCAGCAACAGCTGCTTGGCGGTGATCCCCTTCGCAGTGGATGTAACAGTCATGGTCTTTACCGTAAAGGTGAAAAAGTAACTCTGCTGCTTCACTTCCAAGTTTACAGGTGAGTATGACGAGATGGGAACACTGCTATTGTGCTGACCCAGCATCAGCTGAATCACACCCTTGTCAGGCTGCACAATACATTAGAAAGGAGTAAATGTTAGTTAGCCATGATGTGCAAAGCCAAGTTGGAGTTGGAAAATTTGCTGACGTTTATATGTATCAATAGCGATGTAACATTTACAGATCTAACATAGCGACTGTACACGCACGCCCAGCATAGAAAGTTGCTCAGTTCTTGACTTGCTTAGAGGTCATCCAATTTTATCATTGCAAACAATTATCAAATCCCCTGGTGAGCACATTGGATAAACTCGTACTTTCTTCACTAATCTAATAGAAAGATATCACATTTATCTAAAACGTAAATTCAGAAAAGGATTAAGGATGACATCCATACCAATCGAGACTGGTCATAAATCTCTAGAACAGACATTTCATATCGATGTTGTCGAAGATTGAAGTAGTGGTAGACTACCCAATTCTCACTCAAAACCTGAAAACAGCATTTTCAGTGATTTAAAACATTTAATAGACTCCACAAGATTCTAACACCTGGATTTCGACATCAGGCATAGGGTATTATTTCCAAAAATATATTTTCCTATCTCGTTCTTTGAGATAATCCTTATCAGCAACAAGTACAAACAAGGCGATTAGTAACTTACGGCATGCACAGGGCCTTGCATATTGGGGTGAGAGACACGGTGTAAGATTCTTCCAGTAACAGTGTCGACAAGATACACAACCAATGTTTTCTCCTCAGGACTAACAGCGCCAACCTGGCTTTTGTCTTTTGGAGCAACAGTCGCTACAAAAACCAGGTTCTTATTGAGATACTTAAATAATATATCTCGATTCGACAAAACCTTAGTTTGAGTGTGAGTGACCTGCATGGTTAGATAGTAAGATATTAACATTAGTAACAAAAACACTGAAAAAGGGAAAATTAAATAAAGAAAGAAAGAAAGAAAAGAAAAGAAAGGAAAAAAAAGCCAACGTTGCTTCGATTTCTCACACATACCAATGGATCAGTAAATGAAGATGAGTGAACTTTATACGTTTCAAACTAAGGTTAGACAGCCAGTATCAGTATCAGTAGCAGCTCTCCTTTGTCCGGCAGGGAGACAAAGATTATGCCAGCATCAATCTTCAGCCACCTTGAAATTCAGTTCAGTGAACTAGAGAGTACAGGCCCAAAGGAGAGAAAGAGAGGAGAGAGAGAGAAAGAGAGGTACACTGTGTTGTAGCTGGCTGTTAAAACTACGACAAAATTTGTTACCTTCAACCTCCAGCTCCACATAACGGCTTGCATTCATTGGCTAATGCGTGCTACTTTAAACCCTAGACAGTCAGTATCAGTAGCAGCTTTTGGATACTTACCTCGTCCGATTTTCTTGTCACAACAGTAGTGATGGATTCAGTCTCTGCTGGGAACACGATTGACCAAAGTTTCCGGCTCTCAAAAACGTAGCCTTCCTTGATGTTTCCAGTACTTGGGTCAACCAAGTCAAGTAACCCATACCCATGCATTTTCTGATCCGCCTTGTCTACCTCATAAAAGTAGGCATTTTCCTTATATTTCAAGAACAATGCTAAGCTTTCCTCTGTTGCAGGAAAGAGATGTGCCCTTTTTCGGTTGTCAATCAGAAGGTGAAGTCTCTGTTCTGAGGAATCAGTTACAGGTGTTGTGACCACTTGAGTGACAGAGTAGCTGAGTTTGACAGACTGCAATTCCGTACCCTTATGAACATCTATCCATGAGAGAGCACCTTTGACATCATATCCAGGATCTACAAAACGAACGCAACCAATCTTCAGTTCACGGAGAACGACAGAAGAAGCTATGTAAGTAGGTACAAGAAATCAGATATGCGTTGATACAGACAAATCGTAAAATCATGCAAACTTACTCGGCGAAGACTCAAGACCGCTTACTAGAATAAAGAACCTGATAACAAGGGAGCAAGCATCTATGGAAAAAATGAAAATAAAAATAAAGACAAGAATACAAGTGAAGCTAGAAATGGAAGCACTGATAACTAAGAATCTGAATGAATCAAAGTTACCTGCTTGAGCTAAAATGAGCACAACAGGATTTTCATCCAGAGCATGCTGATGGGGGACCTGCCACTGGAAAATTTTGAGTGGCGAGAAGCGTGGGTTGCCATAGCTAGCGCGTAGGGAGGGGACTAAAAGGGACCAGACCACGTGACCATCCCCGGTGTGTAGAGCAGAAATTTTTCCTGCCTTGGTAAGAACCACAAGAAGCTTACGGAAGCCGTTGTGATCCCGTGTGTGCTTGGTCTTGTCAGCCTGGTTTAATCTGGCTCTCTGAACAGCAGCCAACTCGTCTGGGGTTGCAAGAAATAGGGTAGCCTTCATCTTCATTATATGACCCTGCCACATTATGTAAGCAACTTTCATTCGTTATGTGATTATCAAATGAAACTCGATCAGAAGGTTCAGACAATTGAATACCATAAATCAGGTTCTCATATGCTTCACTATTCACCTTGTCATAATTCACAAAGCTCAACGAGAGAGCTGCTGGAGAGATCCCAATATTGATCCAAAAATTGATCCAAAAAATTCTTTCACAATACTTTGTGAAGAAAATTAGGAGAATACACTACACCCAATTATTTACTCGAAACTAAACCCACCTTAAACGTGTGCAAAACGAACTCAAATACTCTGTCATGTAGCACAGTGATCAATGACAAAAAAAAAAGGTTTAAACAACAGGCATTCAGTATTCTTTCAAGAAAGCTACCTTTAGCCATTCCGCCAAATCGTGTTCCACCTCAGCTACCGAGACACCATCTTTCTCGAGTGGAAGTTCAGCAGGACTGGCATCCACAATAGACGCCAAACCATCCTCCCTTGTCCAAACGACCTCTCCTTGTTGAAGAAGAGATAAAGAATCGTCTTCTCCAACAACCAATGCTCGAAACCCATGTGAACGATCAGTTCGCACATACGCATTCAAGAATGCCTTTTGAATGAAACCCCTGTGACTAGGTAATTTAACTGTCTCCTTCTGGACTTCATCAGAGAAATCATTGCCCTTCACTCGTAGGTTAAACACATTCTGTGCACTCCCTTCTTCCGAAAACTCAACAATGGCAGTCGCATATTTGTCATCCAAAACACTCAAGCTATCACTTACAGCGACAGCACCTGTCAAACGTTCCACTAGAGAAAGTTTTCCAGTGGTTGGGTCCACCTTGAGGATAACAGTTTGATCGTCGGAGGACAGGGAAATGACACCCTCCAAATTTGTACTAAGTAGCTTCAAACTAGTACCAGGGTTGGTGAGGATGCTGCTCACTGGAGTCTCCACCACAATCAACTCCTTGTGGGAATTAATGAGTGCAACAACCAAACTCTCGGCATCTGACTGAAGGGCTACAGCATAATCGCTGGTGACATGAAGATGCTCAGTGGAAAGCATTGAAGAGAGTTCAGCTGACTTAAGATCGCTCAAATCGCCTGTCTTTAAGTCTATCTCGACTAGCGCTACCCCCATAATACCAAAGAAACCAAGCCCATAAGCTTTCCCCTCCTCTGGTGCTAAAACCACTTTTTCAATAAATATGTTCTTGCTGCAAAATAAAGCAAATGAGGCTTGTAAAACCGCCAAGAACATTATGTGAATTCTTAATATTTAGTTTGAAAAAGCATCTTCACAAAGGCAAGAAGTCCTGAAGTGCTTCGAAACCTCTATAAAGACAAGCCTTCCACAGTTCAGAAAGAAAACACAATACTCAAAATCAACTCAAGAGATCAACTTCTAATTTCAAAAATTGATCATCAACACCATGAAGGATGGTCAATTACAACTTGTTGGTTACTTGTACCTGCCAGCAGCATCCACTCGCCAAAGTGTGGCGCCATCAGCTCCTGAAATCGCAGTTAAAATGCTGCCACTATAGACAAATAAGTCGTTGACTTTGTCACCATCAATATCAACCTGCGATTGTGTGATGGCACAAAATAAATAAAAATGAGGAGTTGTATGCCGCAATATGAGCAAGATCTACTCGTTGTGGCTATTCAAATAACTATTTATAAGCCGTAATCCTAAACCCTAAACCTCGACTGCTAAAAATAGAGTGAACGAAACCTAATTGGAAGAACTGCATGACAGAACACATACCGGGTGAGATTTCTAGGATTAAGTGCACTCATGAGACGAACTCGCAAGAGAACAAGAAGGGTTGCAAGGTGCATACCGGGAGCTTAATCAAGCCCAAATTAAATCCTTGAAAGGCTTGTATTCTGGTTTCCCAAATTAGAGCACCATCAGGCAAGTGCCAGGCTCTCACAGTGTTCCCTTTTGACAATGTTAACACATCTGATAGCAATAGAATTCGAAAAGCAATAAGTTAACCAAGAAGAAAACAATGGTGAATATGATTTAAGCAAAGAGTGAGAAGCATGTTGGACAACAGGAGACCCAACTTTTTCATGCCCAATTCTGTTTCGAATACACCATAGTACCCTTCCAGTTGAGAATCATAAGCCGGAAGCCTGATTCTAAACTTCAATATTTGATCTGCTGTATGGAGTTATCTAAACCACAATGTGTATTTCGTTAAGAGGTGTGTTCAGTATGTATGATCCAATTTTAGCCCTTGCTGCTAGATAAATTTGGGTTCATGGAAAGACGACTGCAAATTAACGTAACACAAAGAACATCCCACAAACAACTATAGTAAAACAATATCCTATTCAGAGAATTCATGTGCTTACATTTTCCCATGGAAATCTCAAGTGCATCAATGTTGTCCGTTTCACCAAGCACATGCCTCCAATCTGCAGAGTCACAAACACGAATTCTTCATTATTCTATAATGTTCATCACATACAACACCATCTGCAGCACACGGAAAGGAATAGGGCAACAATAAAACGTACAGATGTCACCGGTGCGGAGATTGAGGGACGCTATGGCATTCTGCTCCGTTGCCACCACCACGCGTTTCCGCCCCGTCCCTTGAGTCTGGAACACCGCATGCTTCACGCGCCCAATATACTGCTGGTGCCTGCACACAAGCATCACCGTGAGCTCTCCATTCCCAAGTTTCAAATCATTTGCCGCAACCCTAATTTTAATATATAAATCGCTGGGGTTATGAACGAAAGCCACGCTCATAACCCCAGCGAAACCACTACGTTCAGCTCCACTCAAAGACACGGATCATTCCACCACGAACACTCCAAAATCAACATCGTGAACCGATCGCGCACTCTTACTCGAAGGTGAAGAAAAAACCAATGAAAAATCCATCATAGCCCTTGCAAATTCCTCGACCGGAAAAAAAAAACTCACGATTAATCTTCTCCAAATCATTAAAAATTCCAAACAAGCCATTACAACGTCGTACCAGTCTCGCACACCGACTTGATCTTCGTAAAGAGCGAGGCAAGTCGATGAGAGACAAGCGACCACAACAAACAACTGACACAATGATGCACGCAGCCTCGGAGACGCCATGGCCGCCTCAAGGCGCCTTCCCTCTGAAGCTACTCAAATGAGCAACGCAACGATGAGATAAACGCTCGCTTCACAAAAGGCGCTCATGTACAGAAGTTCGCGATTCCTCACAAGGAATCGGCCATCGCCAGCCTCCGTTCAACAACAAACCACCGTTCGGCCGAGCATGCGCATCCTGTCGCACAAAAGAGACGACGACGACGATGACGACGAATATCGTCCTTCGTCCTTAAACGAGAAGTTTCTTTAGTCAACTGGTTTTCTTTCGTTCATAACCGAGAAGTCTCCATATTCGACGATTGTCCTTCCTTTTTCGACGAGAAGATCTACTCGTCGACGATATCGGGAATTCGTCAATAATTTTGAACGATCTTCAGTTCCTCGACGATGATCAGTCGTTAGCCTAAAGAGGTCGTCTCGCACAATTCGAGGGCTTCTCGATCATCGCTGAGGCGAGTTTTTGTATCGCGAAGTAATAGAAGTGGGTCCGGTTGTGAGAGGAGTGGCAGTGTTCTCGATAGGGAGCTGTGCTATGCAGCTACAGATGCAAGTGTAGAGTCAGAAGAAGTCCTTCTCGAAATTTGTCTCTCTGTTTTTTTCTTTTTTCAGCTTGATTTTTCGTGACCTAAACGGTGCAGGTAGGTTGAGGTTTTGAGGGAAGTAAGGATGCTGAGTTCCGGGGAGACGGCCGCTCTTCTGGCCGTTCTAGGGGACGAGCGATCGCTCGAGAGCCATGTCTCGGCGTTTAGGATCACCTTCAAGCGCCATCAGCACTTCAAGGCGTGCTGTTGCTTAATTATGCTCCTTGAGGTTCGTTGGAGTCCTTCTATGCACACCCTGCGGGTTGTTTCACTTGAATTTCTCGTTTATAGGTTGATTTTTGTAATGTGAATCGTTACTTGCTTGCACTCTATCATTTAGTTCTACGCCTTAAGTGACTTGGTTTAGTGCGTTAAAATTTTGCTTCTGGTGCTTTTAGGAGGGTAATCACGATCGGTACTATTTTATTTCTTTCGGTCTGTAATGTTTGGATAAAAAAAATGAAATGCTGGCTTATACAAGGTTACCTTCAAGTCATGAACCCTGAAGAATCAGTGCAGTAAAATGTCACGTCGCCTGTGGTGGGAATCTCGGTGACATAGTCTTTGAATTCATTGATGCAGCATCAACACGATGACTTTACAACATTAAGTGTACTGATCCTAGCGCGATTCTGCCAGTACTGGAAGTTGAAGTTGGCAAAGATGTGATGTAGGGTTTAAGAAGACATGTAGACAATGTAAAGATCGAAAATGTACCCATGTTTTCAAAGTTATTTTCTGACGAGCGTAACTATGATTTGGAACTCATTTGCAGGATCGACGACTTTTAAAGCAGACATATCGCCTGGCAGCCTTTTACATTCTGTTTGAGTTGTACCGCTGCGAGCAGTCAAGTACCAACCCCTTCTTGTCATTCCTTATTGATGTAAGTGCTCGACATGCCTCAGTTTGCTAATTGTCAATCTTTATCAGCCCACAAATACTTTCGGAAATAGTCGGAAGAAACCAATAGAGGTTGTTTAGTTTCAAATTATTGTATCTTGTTTTCACGACTGCTTCGTACCCTTGGTGCAGGCAGCCTCCAATGAGGCCGCAGATAAAGTGGAATGTGCATTCTTACAAATTCTTCTGCAGTCCCTCAATAGCAACAACAAAGAAGTAAGAACTCGTCCAATTCAATGCTTTGGATCTCCTTCAGGTCTAGAATTGTTTCAGACATTAGTTAAAGTGAATCAAAACTGTTAACGAAATTTTTTAGGTTCTTGTCGTTGCTTCTTACTTCCTCTCCTCTTCAAGTCGATTTGCACGAGGTTAACTTTGAAGTTGTGATACTTAACTTAGGATGAAGCATTTCGCCGTCTCTTATTTTGATAGTTCGTGGTGCGCCAAGCTGCATGTCCTACTTGGCTTAGCTTGGTGTAGGTCATGATTTTATAAAGTTTTGTTGCTGGCAGTCTTAGGGTGAACGCAGGCTATAAGTTTTACTTTTCTTATGTTTTGTATCATTTTTCCACTCTGCTTCGATGCTCATATAATTACTTTGAAATTAGTGCTTAGCCGATAGGGCACTTCTTGATTCATTTTAAGTGAAGGTTGATGTAGGTCTAGTCATAATCAAATTCTATGGGCTTCATTGTGGTTCTGTTGCAGCTTTCAATGAAATCAGCCAATGAATTTATTTCAACTTTCGACCCTGCAGTTCATGTATGATCCTTCTTCTGAAAATTTTATCTAAGAAGTCTTATGTTTCTTCTTACATTTGAAGTAGTTTGTGCTTAGCTTAAACTGATTAAACTGAAAGCATTTGAGCTGTCGTGGTCTATAGCAGCCCTATTTCTACATACAGTTGTATTTTTCCATTGGATTGTCTATGGTTTGCGGTGCAATGATAGTTTGCAACTGTATGTCGTGGATTTTCACCAGAAACTTCTAAGTGCTGAGACATTGAAAACAAGATATGCTGATAAGCTTCCACCTGAGCCCCGGATGAGCTGTTTCACAAAGGCATCCATCAGCAATGTAATTCTCGATCCAGATGTACCACTGGGCTATAATGTGAAATCACCTGAGTAAGTAAACCAAAATTCGCAGGATATGAAGAAGAACGTGAATCTTCAACCTTGTCTGACAGTTTGTTATTTCAACTAGTATAAAGGACCTTTTCATTTAGATTTTGTTCATTGGATCTGTGGGTCCTATTGGCGTTTAAATTTCATGGTCCTTATTGTGTTTCATGAAATTTTGTAAAAATATCGATCGCACAAGCTTGGCGTTCAAGACAGCATTTTGCAAGTTTGAAGTGTTACCTATTTTTCACGTTACTGTAGACTGACTTTTAGGTTTCCTCTCCAGCATCTTCATAGGATACAAGTGGCTTGACTTGCACATGTGTGCCTCTGATTACAGACATGGTGTGCCAGGAGGTCTGTCACAGCTTGGGGCCGGGAATAGAGAAGCTGCGGCTGCTGCGCTGATACAGGCTTCCTCATTGAACGGACTGGAGCCTCCGTGGGTGCGCCCTGCTCCACCAAGGCTTCCGGTTCAGCAAGGAGAGGTATGCACTTAAACTTCAAGCTACTCTCACAGCAGAATCTGTCATTTACTCACAGATCTTTTAGAGAATACAAGGCTTACATTACTACATAAACCGTTCCTTCTAGTATTGTTGATTAGATTGTTGTCATATCCAAGTGGATCAAATCGTTGTCAAGTACGTGTCTGATTTTGAATCGACAGTTCGTCTTCTGAAAAGGATCCGTTTAATTGAAATGAAATCATAAATCTTCTTAGTTCAAATGGTTCAACGGATTATCTTTTACTACATCGGGTGGACATGGTTCGGAACATTTCAACATCTTGAGCCAGACGTAATGCTTACGATCTTATCGCCTGTTCACAACGTTTGCTTGCAGATGGTTTGGCTGATTCCAGACACTCAACATGAGCTTTTTTGGGATAATGGGATGTGTGCGGACACCAGCCGTGGTGCTGCTATCCGAGAGCAGATAAATCGTGCTTTGAAAGGCGCGCTAGATGCTGCGCAGCAAAAGGTCCCTTTTCTCCCTTGACCGTATTTTGTTTTTGTTATTTGTAAAACCTGTAAGTAGTTCGCAATTATGTCACATCTTTTTCTGTGTAACTTTTGTGAATCGAAAGGACTAAGTTGCCTCTCTGTTGACCTGGCACTTATATGCAGGTTTGTTGAAAGGCTGTTTTTAAGAATTTGTGTTTTATGACCCCAATTGCCATATCCACTGTTGATGTTCTTTTCACGTCGACAATTTAGAAGTCTTTTTCTTACTTCTGATTCCTCCTGTAGCGTCCAGTTCTGGCTGAGTAGAACATCAATGAAAAGTTGGGGAAGGCACGTAGTTGAGATTACTTACAGAAGTTACCGTTTCTGTAACAGAAATTTGTAATGGAGCTGGAAGCTGATCCTAAACTCGTATATCACTGTGGATTGACTCCACGACGGTTGCCTGTATGTCCCTAACTTTCTCCTAGGAATGAATGCTTCGTCAAAAAGCTCGTTTTCAAGCTTGCAATAGATCCTGATATCTATCAAAATACAGAAACATGACAACCAGTGACCATGCCTTTGTGTTGCGTCTTTATTACAAATTCTCTAGATCCTGGAAAACATTATACAGTGCGCCACATTAGTCACTGATTGGTGACGTGGTTAATTTCTGCATGATGAAGTTCAATCAGCTTGTGTTGTCAAGCTTTGCCTTTCTTGACAGTTGGTTGTGTTCTTTGCAGGAACTTGTGAACAATAGTCCATTCATTGCGGTTGAAGTTTTGCTCAAGCTGATGAACTCAAACCAGATCACAGAGTAAGTAAATTATGTGATTTTATACTTGAAATCTTGAACCTTCTTCACTAGATGTGAATACAATACAATGCTCGGTAGGAGTGTCCATGTACCTACTGGAATTTCTTGCATTTTTGAAGAAGACGAAGTTGAATGTCCCGGTGATTTTTGTCCTGCAGAACGTGACGTGGATTGAAATGGAAAATCTTTTTTTTTGTCATTCCGTTGTTTTCTTACTGAGGGGAGTGAGTTGCTTGCAGTTATTTAAAGATGCTGGTAAATATGGATATAAGTCTTCATTCCATGGAAGTTGTGAACCGCCTCACTTCAACTGTCGATCTTCCTACAGAGTTCGTTCATATGTACATCTCTAATTGTATATCATCCTGTGAAAATATCAAGGTGCGTCCTTTCTCACTCAAGTTTTTTAAGTGTAGCATTACAGTCTAATTCTCTCTCTCTCTCACTCTCGCTCTCTCTATCTATTTATCTATCTATCTATGTGTATATATATGTGTGTGTGTTTGTGTTTTCGTTCTTGGCACAGCCTAACACCAATGTGTTATTCAGGACAAGTACTTGCAAAACCGTCTGGTCCGACTGGTTTGTGTCTTCCTGCAAAGCTTGATTCGAAACAAGATAATTAACGGTATGTTTGTTCTGGTTGCTGTATTGTGCTGACATCTATGAAGGTTTTCATGTAAAATTTTATTTGAAATTTATGAAGTCGTACTGGTGACTGTGAGAGGGCCGAGATTGCACCCGACCATCGTAGCAAGTCATTGCCATTGATCAAGTTTTGTATTTCATAGACTTCGCCGCTTGTTTCGTATGTTATTTGAGGGTACTAGTTGTTGAGATTGCTTATTATTGCGGTCTTACTGACCTCAATTTTTATTGTGGTTATTGCAGTGCAAGACTTGTTTATAGAAGTCCAGGCTTTTTGCATCAATTTTTCACAGATACGAGAAGCTGCTACTTTATTCCGACTTCTGAAGTCACTTGAGTGCTGACAGTAGATTTCACCTCTCGGCTGCCTACGCTGGATCCTTTAGGTAGAGTGGCAAAGATTGATTTTGAAGGGTTGTCACACCCTGACGATTATGTAAAGTATTGGTAGATGTGATGTCAGGCTTCATGTGGACCCCATTCAATACATCTGCTTCAGTCACTTCTCTCCTCAATTTATCTACATTATTTCCGTTGAAATCTCTAAATGTCTCTCTTTTAATGTTTTCGTTAGCTTGAAGTCTTGCTATCATGTAATGCTCGATTATCAGTATCCAAGAGTAGGAACTGAAGCGTCAGCCGTTGTTACCCTATTAGACAAACTGGTCTCTCATACCGATCATTTCTAAATTCTAATCAGCTTGTCCAGACTTACGCTGTGTCTTGACAATTGAATTCGCTGTTGTATGTAATTGTTTATCTGAAAGCGTTTCTCCATTGTTCTGTCTGTAAATTCACATCTTCCCTGCTTTAGTACTAAACCTTCATCTGGACCAGATGTTGGGTCTAAAATTTAGGCTAATAGTCATGAATTACTGATTTTTTTAGATACACTTGTGAGATTGGGCACTTTTCAAGGAAGGTACATGTGTCCTTTCACTGTACATCTAAGTGGATCAGACCACAACAAATTTCAGTGCCTCACTGGCTGCCTACACGGTTCCAGATTATGGTTCTACTAGGCGACCGGCAGGAACGGTGGTGATGGAAGGAGATGTTACACGAGTCATTCAGCAGTAATGGCGTCCGTCTAGCCACAGCACGAGATACGCATCAAGGCCAACATTGTAGAGAAAGGAACCCATACAGTTTGTTGGCCTTCATTTGATCATGTACAGATACTCCTTGCAACCTATCCAACGTCGTCTCTTCGGAGACATCTGATAAAATTGGAACGATACAGAGAAGATTAGCATGGCCCCTGCGCAAGGATGACACGCACAAATCGAGAGATGGTCCAAATTTTTTATATCTCTGGCACGTCAATTCTTACCATTAACAATATTTCGTATGGTCTTTTTTCCAGCGCGAACTTTGCAGTATATTAGCCTAATCCTCCATGTAATTGTTGAAGTTTGTCACAAATATATGAGCCTTATCAAGTCCCCGAATACTGTATAACCATTATTTTAATTACATATATATGAGCCTTATCAAGTCCCCGAATACTGTATAACCATTATTTTAATTTTAGATTATGCATCTTTTCGAACAACCCGCGTACTAATACTAGCTGCACATAGGATCGCAATCTTAAGTCCACCCCTGCTAGCTTCGCATTCTAACAACAAACCACATGCTTTGCAAGCCAGATTCTGCTCTCATCCCACCGAAGGCGAATTACACTGCAGCTTCGAAACCAGGCAAGCTCCGACCAATCTAAAGGCACCCCTATTTCTTTCTTCCCCACAACAGCGCATCCTAGCCCCACCTCTAGAGCTTGTGCTTCATTTTCTTTGTTTTTTGGTTTGTTTTGTTTTGTTTTGTTCTTTTTTCAACCTTCGGAAGAGAAGCGCCTGGAAACCGGAGGCTGCATTCTGCCAGTTTTCAGGAAGATTGAGTCCAATCAACACCATGAGCTGCACCAATATAGATATACATATACATATTAAAGAAAAATGCCTCCCCAGCACTCGAATGCAGTGGCAGTGGGGATTTCTACAGCAGCCATGGCCTGGATTCGGCACTTGATGGGTGATAAAGGGAGGAAGAAGAAGAAGACGAAAGGTGAAGACGAAGAAGAGTCTGAAGGGGGTACTACTGCACGTTGAGCCGCATCACATCATAGCCAGCAGCCATCGAGTGGACGATGCAGAGATAAGAAGAGTAGAGGCAGGTAAAGGAAAAAGAAGTCCCTGAACCCATCTGTTTAAGTCCCCCCCCCTCCCTCTTCGGACCACCTCTCACCAGAACGAGGCAGTTAGTAAGCTTAGCTCCCACAGCGGCTGCTCTGTACACAACTCCATAGCCAGCCAGTTCCAAGGTATTCATCCCATATTCATCCCATGGAGTCTACTCGTGATACTCCAGGCAACGAATTTGTGGTTCTCCAAACATCTAAAATAAGCTCCTAAGCACCTACTGCATTTTCTTTACTATTTCTTAGTGATGATGAGAGTTTCTTTTTTATCCTTAAGGTGGTAGTAATATATACTAATATTTCATGTTTTGCTCCTCCTTATTTGTTTATTTGTTTCTAGACAGCACTAGCACTGATCATAAAGTTAAAACTGCAAATGTTTTGGATGGCATGCCAATAAACCATGGTTTGCATGGCTAGAGCTAAAGTAACACCATCCCATGCCAAACTTGGCAATTGATTCACTTTCACCCACAAAGGAGTTTAAGATAATATCTGGGTAAATTGAACCCACAAACAAACTTGTGGGTTGTATTGATCTCTATATGCACTTGGAATTAGCCTTACAAGGAGTTACCATATATACACATACACACTCTTGTAAATCCTTCCATCCATTGAATTCATAGTTGACACCTACACTGCACATCACATTTTTCCTTTTGGTTCTGGATCTCATCTATCTTGTTAATATTATCCCATTTCAGCTGACAAATACTCAAATATATGAATGAATGTATGAAGCAATAAATTTATCCATCCATTATTGAAGCAAGAAGGTCAACTCCCCTCTCTCTTGCTCTCTCCCACTTAAAGAAATAAAGACAATAACTGAAGAAATATAAATAAACACAAATAGCTAAAAAGAGCAGCACTTGCAAAAACCATAGCCAACTGTGCAGGGATCTGTGGCCAAACCCAAGGCAACCCTCACTATGCAAGCCAATTCACCTCTCACTTTAAAAGCCAAAGTCAAATGCATCACACAAAGCAGAATTAGCCACATGCACACACAATGAAACCCTATGGCAGAATATAAAAAATAAAAAATAAAAAATCTCAAAGCCTGACCTCCATAAACCAATTGACTCCCACCCATACAACATTCATAATTGTGCACTAAGCATGGCCAATTTCAGTTCAAACCAAGAGGGGGAATGATGCAAAGGGATGAAGGCATTAGCAGGGGGGACAATAGCAACAAACATGCAAAGACCCCCCCCCCCCTCCCACACACAAGAGCACAAAACAATGTTCCCATAGCCAAGTCCACGCGGGCCGTGACGCACGCCACGTCACCTGCCACGTCGTCACGCGATCAGGAGTCCGACCCATGTGAGCGGTGCCACGCAAGCCAGATATTCCCTGGACCAGTAACGGGGTTGCTGAGCGTGATAGGGCCCGCTTCACACTGGCCTCATTCAAGCTCCGGAACCGGGCATGGGGAGGAGCATCATCACCATCATCCCCCCCTTCCTTTGCCCCCTATAACCTTGGAGCCCACGTTGCTGACATGGCGATCGTGATGGCTTCGTGGCACAACTTCTCAACAGTTTCCGACATTTGACCTCTTGGAACTCGTGCCACGTGGAAATTAACGCATGGCTCACTGAAGCTTCATGGGACTGCGGGGTGGGAATGTATAGCGTGCCCGGAATCGTCTGCCTTTTTCAAAAACGTAAAGTAGTAAAAAAGCAAAAGTGGAAAACTTCTCCCTCCGCTTCCCCCTTGTTCTCTGGGTTTACTTGGTCTGAATTAGGGTATAATTAGCTTCAGATTATGGGGGCTTAATGGCTTGAATAGTGTCGTGGGACTTATATTTTTTTATTTTATTTTGATTTAGGATCAGTGCAAATAGTGCTCAGGTTGGTTTCCTTTCCTCCCTCTATGATGCCAACAGAAAGTGAACAGAATTGAAAAGGTCATTGCCCTCTAAATTTTGGCACCATGACATGTATTCACCATTTGATAAATGTGAGTTACTTTATTACCATACAATTAATGTTGCGGAATATTTTATAAACAACATACCATGCTAATGCAAAAACCACTTTATATATATATATATATATATATATATATATTTGTTTATTTCTTGGATGCAATATTCTTGGTTGACTAATTTGCAAGGTTAATTTGGTTCAATTGTTTTATTTTGGCATGGGTTAAAGTTTTTGACTTGTCTCTTCACGGTTTATAAATGGTTCAACATTCTTCTCTACTAATGTTCAGTTCCATTTAATAGATAGTTCCCAACTTTCAATCCTAAATTACATACTTTGAATTTGGGTCATGATTATTGAAACTTGATACAGATGACAATGTTTTGGTTTCACTATTATGGTGATTGGCTTGAAGTTAAACATCGCACCAATTGTTTTATAGGTTTCTCTTCTAAAGACACAACTGTCTGGTAGAAAAATAGAACTTACTGCACACTACAAAATGTTTCAACCTTTACATGGTCAGAGGTAGAATCAACTCTGCAATTGTGAAAATAATAATGAAGTGTTGATAATTCTGAGAAGTACTACAACAAGTGCAATATCATTATATATATATATATATATATATATACATATACATATAAAGCTTCTACATACTTCAATGTGCAATACATGGCTTTACAAATAACTTTTAAATATACTTCTAGGTGGTTCTATTTCACTTCTAACTTTATGAAACTATTCTTTCCTTTAGACACAGGTTCCTGCAGAAATAATATTAACTCATATTTTTCCATAGTTATCTGTTTAAAGTAATAATTCTACATAATTTTATTATTAAATATCAAAGGAAGGAAATACACTTATTTGCCTCATGTTAGTATAATTTTACCACTACATATGCATACCGTGGTAAAAATCTAAAATTTCAACACACTTCTTATGTGGTTGTATACAATTTGAAATAATCCTTTAAAGATTATTCCTTTTATTTGAGTGCCCAATGTCATTCAAAATTTTAATATTTGTTTTGAAATTGTTGTAGATTCAAAAATATTTAGGATGAATTTAGATATGTTCTCATGACACTTTCAGGATATACTGTATTATCTTGTATGCTTTGAAGTGCCCACCTTTGAATTCAAACAATAGCAATTTTGTATTTTGAATAAATAGGATGATGACTAAGATGTTCACTTCCCTAGAAACAATATTTGCTTCCACAAGTTTGAGTATATTTTCTGTATTTAGCCCTAATTTAAGTCATGAGGAGGAATGTCAAAGTTAGTTAAAATTGAAATTTCTTAATTTTTTTTATCATATCTTTTCAAAATTTGAGTCTCCAAATTGGAGTTCAATTATTTTTATCATAGTTCCAAAGGCTCTTAGTAGAC